GAGGGACAAAACTGAGCAACATACAAACCGTTTCATAGCTGCAGTGGTGAAACTGGTGTCTACTGTCTCCCACAGTTCATGCCATATTTTGAAAATTCTTAAGAAAGGTTTCTTGTCGCAAAGAAAAGAAAAGCTGCTCTCTTTTGTAGTTGTACTACAGTCCAAACATTTTTCTATCTGTCAGTGAAATCCCAGACTGCAATTTATCAGTCCGAAGCAGAAGACGACCAATGCTGTTATCTAATAGCATAGATTGTATTATAAAAATGTATTGTGTCAAATACAGTAATGTGTGCCAGCTTGGTTGCCTTCCAGCACAGGGTGGGACAGATCTTTTGACTAGATAAGAAGCAGCAGATCTGATGTAGTTTGATTTTCGTAAGTTTTTGGCAACGTCTGATGTGTCCCTCCAAAGTAAAGTATGAAAACTTGGACTAATTGAAACTTCAGTAAAGTGGATGCTGAAGTAAAGTGGTGCTGAAATAAATTTTTTGGAGCGCTTTCAAGCTGGGATTATACTAGTGGGGATCCTACACTGATCTTTCTTGGTCTGGTACTGTTCAGTATTTTCATTGCTAGTTGGATGAGGGGCTAGAACCTGCCCTAGAATGGCATATGATCCTGATCGGGATAGGATCATAAGCACACCGACAGGATTTAGAATTCAAAGTTGTCTTGATGTCTCAGGAAAATAGTGTAAAATAGGATGCAATTTAATATCAGTTAATCAGCACAACCAAGTACAGTCCTTTGGTGTTAAGCAACTCTATGGCTAAGGTAGGGAGGAAGAATGACTAGGCAGGAGGTCCACAGAATAGAATCAGAGAGTGGATCAAGGGCAGAACATATGTCAAAGCTGTGAAGTTGAGGTGAAAAAGATGGAAAAATGGCACCCTAGCTTCGGTAAACAATAGCATCGAGCTCTGCTCAGCACTGGCACTGGACCTCATATGGAGGATAGTGTTTGGGTTTGGGTGCCACATCTCACTAATGATGTAGACCAGGAAAAACAGCTATTAAGACTAGAGAAAAATGACATGTTGAAGGTTTGCAATTATATGAAGGATGCTGCAGAGAGGGAAGTTTACTGAAGTAACCCATCCATTGAAGTCTTGGCCTTAAACTGCAGACCAGCAGCGCCGTGCTTTGCTGAAGGAGACCAGCGGAGGAGGTGTGTGGGCATTCCCTTGCTCGTTGCACTGAACGCAGGTTAGAGCAACATCTGTCACGAGGGGTTTAAGGGCTAGCTGATTCGGACTTGAGGCAGCTGTTGAGACTGCCCAACCTATTCAAAGCCTTTCCCAATGTCATTTCCTGTGATCCCACGTTCAGTGTGTTTCTCCCCTCCAGGCTGCTCAGTGTTCTCTCGGTCTGCTCATTAACCAGTTCATTTACTAGCTCCATTGGAAAGAAATGAGGCAATTAAAGTCAGGCAAAGGGGTTAGTGAGCCACTTTATTTCTCACAGCATCAGAGGCTGAGTAATATTAAATATCAGATATTTTGAGCCCATCTCCAGTGCAGCAAGGATAGCAAGTGGCACAAGTGGACTTCTGGCATGCAAATGAAAGTCTGGCATGAAAATAAGAATGTCATGGTTTTCAGCAGAACCCCAAGCCTGTGTAACCTCTTGCCTCCCTTTCAGACCCTACACAGCCTAATTATAGTTCTGCGGATGGTGTTTATTTTAGTATGCACATGCATAAGAGAAGAACTGGGGAGAGCTCTGCATCTTGGATGGCAGAATAATAACAGCAAGCTGTTTTTATTAGCATTGTTGTGTCAGAAATAGTGTGACGTTCATTAGTGTTGTATAATAAGACCCTGTAATCTCCTTTGAATTTTTCCCTGGAAATGTGAAGATATTTCTCTTGTTTACAGCTTAGACACTGCAGACTGACCCTGAGAAAAGGAGTTTGGGATAAACAGCTATGTTTGCAAAGGAGATACTCCTAGTGAAACTCAGAACCTAAGCATCAGTGCACAGGCTGCACCTGCAGGGAAAGGTATAGCAGGCGTCAGGGCTCCTGAAAATGCCTTGGCCACCTTTTCGTCTCACATTTTTCCTTGTGATTCCACTGATGTTAGCTGACTTTTCCTCAGCCTTCCTAAATTATCATCACATGGACCATTATTGGAAAAGTGTTTGCTTTTTTTCTGACATGCTGGGGGCAATCAAAAGTGCTTAAAGAGCCTCACAAGGTCTGCAGAATAGCGTATTTAAATAGCAGATTTCTAACTGTTCAGGGGGGTTGTGGCTTAGATGGCTAGTTCCACCTAGGAAGTATTCCGTAGAATTTTCTATATGGCGTAAATGGTGAAAAACAAAAAACCCAGAAGAAGCCGAAGAGTTGAAATAAACTGTAGCTTGCACCTGGATGTTATTGTATATCTCATCATGCCGTACAGTGACAGTCGTCATAGAAGCTGTCATAATGCCTGTAATTAATGGCAAGAGAAACAGAGATAATGTCATTTTCTTTCACTGTTCTTTAGTCTCAGATGTCCAGGCCTCCTAGGCAGTTTAATAAGAAAGGGTCTACCAGGCAAGATCCTGAAGAATTAAGTGTCTATTGTGGAAACAGAGAGGTGATGTTTCTAAGTCTATTTCTTGTGTTTACTTTGGACACTAGCGGTCGGTGAGTGCTAATCTCATCCATATGTTTGGCATCTGACAAATGATGCTCTCTGTTTTTTCTCTGAGGACTGTATGAGATACGAGACATACTTCAATTAAAAATGATAGTTTAATGTGGTTATTTTTGGCAAAGGAAACCAAATTAGATGAGATTTTTGTAATACATGGTAGTATTGAATTTCTTGCAAAAACAGTAAAAGTTTTGGCTTCCTATATTGATGGAAAAGTTTGGATTATTTTAACCTTGGTGGATCAATTCATCCCCTATTTATTATGCCAATAAAACAACACTTTGAAGGGAAAAACAAACTGGAAAATATTATTGCCAGTGATGCATGGAAAAGGGATGTGAAACTTGAGTCAACCCACGCTGGGTTTGGATTATTTATTACCACTGTGAAGTAAAGGCCAGGTAGTGAACTGATGACAACCTCTGGGGCAGGCAGCTGCATTGATTGACATCGGCTAAAGTGCTGGCCCGACGTTGCTGTTGCCATTCCATATCAAAGCACCCAAGCAAATTGAGTTTTTCTTTGTGTTATGCAGATAAGTATCTTGTGCGTGGTTGATTTTCCTTGTACTCACCGTTTTGTTATGCAGAATTTTTAGTAAGGTCTGTTAATAAGCTTTTAAAATTTTCTAAGCGAAGCCACGTTTAAGAAATACTGACAAAAGAGCAGTGTGTCATATAATGATCAGTCACTTGTTTCCTAAGAGACATTTAAAATTTCTATTTTGTAAATAATTGTTAGTTAATAAGTAAGGTTTCATGCCAAAATATTACCGTATTCTTTAAGAAAACAGCAGCCCCACGAATTAGATACAGTGAGCCTACTCCAGGCTGCCAGCTCCTAAATCAGCCCAGGAAAACGGGCTTTTAGCTCCGCACCAAGGTTCCTTTCTCTCTGCGAATGAGTTCAGCTAGCACTGATTTGTCACTGTCCCATCAGAGGGAAGGCTTAGAGGTTTTGAGAAGCCTGTGGTCTTTAGCCAGGCTTGAATTGAAATCTTTATTGTGGGGTCATCATCTGTAATTTTGAAAGGGCAGTGAGAACGCATGAGGTAAGCAGCACAGCTTCTCGTTCCACGGCTGATAACGAGCTGGGTGGACTGCAGTAAATTTGGAATCTCCTGCCATTTTGGGGTGAGAGGGAGTTATTTGTTCTGTACCTCTGATGGCTGGTCATCAGATCATTTCCTTTCCACAGTGTTGAAATTTAGGGTTATTCTCATCCTATGAAGCAGCAAAATTTTTCACCACTGTCTGCTCTTCCGTCTTCTCAAACTGTCGGGAAGAGCAGTGATTCATTCTAGAGCATTATGAGCAATCCCTGGGTTGAAACCAGTAGGTACCACAGTAATTATGGGATGTTAAGATTACCTATTTTCCATAGTGGTGTTTGAGAGGATATATCTGGGACTGTGAGGCCACGTACGTATCTGGACAAGAAAGCCCATTCTGCTAAGGATTTATTGATAACTAACACAATATTTGCTGCAAAATGTACCCCCGTGTCTGTTGGATGATACTTTAAAGGTGCTTATTTTAGCACCTTGATCCCCAGGCTGTCATTGTACCCCTTGGAAGGGAGAAGCTGGGGAAGAGCAGGGAGACAAATTACAGCAAGAGCCAACTGTACTTTGAGAATCTACATGTAAATAGAGATGGAGCTAGGAAAGCAATGGGAGAGAGGGAGAAAGTGGTTCTACTAAGAGCCAAGCAAAGAGACCAGAGATACAGAGGTGATTTCAGAGACCAGTGCATTCTCTGCATTGGTTCTTGGGTGGCAGGGGGCATTGCAGTAACTCAAGCTGTCACTGGAGGAAGGTTTCCAGTGCGCCAACCCAGGCAATGGCAGTGACAGAAGAGGATCTCGGGGTTCTGGCATCAGTAGTGTCATTTCCTGCTACTTTCCTCTTGACAGCTTTGTTCTGGTAAAGCCTTTCGCTGTAATGCTTCCTCCTTTTCCTTCCATTTATTTTCAGCTCCTCATCAACTGCCCCAATGTCAAATAAGTCTTCTGAGTGCTGCATTCCT